GTAGTGTTAATACAAAACTTTTAAGCCAATCAATAATAAAAAATAAAATAAATATAATTGGCTCGCCACTTTTGCGCCATGTTTATACTGGCGTGCCAGGTGGTGCACCAATATGGTGCACCATTGGCGTCGCCAAGTGCCCTGCACCAGCAACCCTATATACCGGGTATCATACCCACCGGGTACAAATAGAAATTCTCTTTAAGAAATTGCTGAGATTGACAATTTATACGTACGTACGCATAACCTACGCTCTATCCTTATGTAACAATCATACTGCATTACGAATTGCCGGGGTCACGAATTAACCCATGACAATAGTGACTTATTGCCGGATTTAGCTTGATTAAATTTAAATGTATAAATTTTTTATTATTCGCGACAAGCAACTCTTTATATAGAATTTTTGCTAACGTTAAAGAAAGAAAGGAGAGCAATGATTTTTTTAACTATAACGATAAGAGTAGCGAAGAGTACGTATAGCAACAGTAAAAGATAAAGTTAACTACGTATATACGTATATATATCTAATTAAAAGGAAATCGTAATAATTGTACGACTAATAAAAAGAAAATATAGTAATAAATTTTATTATGAAAAATTTTGTAACACTACAAGATCTAATTTCAGGGGTTCGGGGGGCTAATTTCAGACAGGTGCACTTTAAGCAGGTGTAAAGTTTCAACTATGACGGGAATTAGCATGGAAAATAATAAATACTATTATTGTAACGAATATAATACGAGCTGATGCATGGTGTCAGGCGTGACCATTAATGATCGACTACTGATCGACCGACCATACTCGAAAAAAAATTTTTTTATGATCGGTTACATAAAATTATCGATCATCCCCTAATTGATCATCATCTCTAGCTAATTTCTTTTTTCAAAATCTTTTCAACTATTTCCCAATCATCAGTAGGCACCTTCACAATTTCACGCTGAAAATGCTTTTGTATAGCTTGTACAATTTCCCAACTAACTGCATCATGAACAAAGTTAATAGAAACTCCGGTACGTCCAAATCGACCGGTACGTCCAATACGATGTAAGTATGTCTCAAAATCAGGGCTTCTTCCGGTTACATCCATTGGTATATCGTAATTGATTACAAGATTCACTTGCAACACGTCAATACCACGTGAGAGAACATTGGTAGTAATCAATACCTTGGCACTACCTTTACGGAATCCATCCATAACTTCATCGCGTTCGCCCGTTGAAAGACCACCATGAAGGTTAATAACCTTGTGACCTTTATCCGTCATACGTTTGGCAATTTTGTCTGCCGTTTCACGTTTCTATAATTTTTTCGGACTTTAATGTTTTAATAATTTTATCATTTTAGGCATTTTAGTATTCAACAAAAGTTATCATAAATTTTACCTGAACGAAAATAATACTTTGTCCAATTGTTAACAAGGTATATAGATCGTCCAAAACTTCAAACTTGTGTTCTTCATTTTTACAATCCATGTAAAATTGTTTAATGGTTTTTACTGACAATTCTTCAACTCTTAAGCTGAATTGATTTGCACTTGGCGCAAATCTAGTAGCAAATGATCGTACTTCACTGGAATACGTAGCAGAAAAGAGTACAATTTGACATGAAGAAGGCATCATACTATTTATTAAAAATAATGTCGATATTAGTATACCGATATTAGTATACGAATAAACGAATTTACCACATGGATATCAATATAAATACTTTTTAATTCTTATACTCTGATCACCCAATCCTTGTTGATCCAACATATTGTCAGCTTCATCCAAAACAAAAATTTTCATATGTTTTCTTTCCATCACTTTCCTCTTGAGTAGATCATAAACAGTACCAGGTGTACCGACTATCAATTGCGCTTCCGCAAATTCTTCGTGCCTACTTTTACCACTAGTTTTTGCATCGGACACTCTAATAGCTTCTGCAGTTATTACTGGTGTATATTTTCCCATTTTTCTAACTTCCACCATGATTTGACGAGCAAGTTCTCTTGATGGTGTCAAGCAAAGCGCCTGTTTTTTTTTTTCAATAATAAAATATAAACAGAGAATTCATACAACTATATATATATAATATCTAAAATATTACTTGTGGTGCTTTCAAGTCATAATCTATTCGACTCAGCATAGTTAACACAAACGCTGCTGTTTTTCCAGTACCGGATTGAGACTGGCCAATCATATTCTGAGGCCTGATAATATTAAATATGTTAAAATGTCAAATAAACTAGACATAATAATATTAATAAATATTTATTTAACATTACGTACGGAGATTTGAGAAGTAAGGGTAATGCCTTTGCTTGAATCTTTGATGGGGTTGAAAAACCCATTTCATAAATACCCTTCAACAAGTTTGGATTCCTAATTTTCAAAGACCAAGTTCAAATTTCAATATTAAATTTCAAATAATTCTAACAACGTATAGTAATCATTATAAATATATATACAAGTTTAATTCTTCAAATTTCGTTACAGAAAGCAGGGGTTCATCGTCAACACTCGTGACTTTAACATCATAGCTCGATTCTAATAACGATCTATGTTTTGCTTTTTTTTTTTTAAAAAAAAAAATATATATATATATCTAGAGTTAGATTAAAGAAACTAATTTACCGATAAAATTATTAATTTCTTACGTTCTTGGGTATCTAGATTCTCAATTTGTGCAGTGAGGTTTTCGACGTCTGTTATCACGAATAATTTAGATCAGAAAGAATTCTTGTATAGTTATGCGATTAAACGAAAACTAGATCGGTGAGCTGTCTTAAACGCTTAAAGAGATTCTTTGAAAGATCAACTTTTATCAAGAGTATTTAATAACCCGAAACTCTTGGCGAAGGATCTTTATGAGTTGGTTGATTCAGAGAGATCTACCGACTGGGAAAGTAATCAGAAGGAAATCAAGCTCATTTCTCTGTATGAACTCACCTCCATTAATAGAAGATGAACTTGTAGTGATGTCGGAGATATCCATTTCGAATTTAAGTTTGAAATGTTTGAACGTTAACGTTAACGTTAATGCTAAGTTAGTTATTTGGCTCCGCTCAAATACTAACGCTAAAAAGCAATTGGACACGCATCTAATCTATCATAGGAATTGAAGTAACACGAACATTAGTCATGTGACAATGTGCCTTATATAAGTTTTCATGTCGAAATTTTTTACAATTTTCTTTTTAGTTATTAATATATAGCAAAGAAAAAAATAAATTTTCATTCATGCAAAATTCTTTCCCTTCTTCAAACCCGCAAAATTTAGTTGAAGCTAGCTCTATAAATATGGACATACTTACTCAATTACAAGACTCAATAGATAGCGTACGTAAATAATTAAATTGGGATTACGCATGTTTCGTATACGAAATTTTTTTTTAAAAAAAACGCTTATGAAACATTATTTAAAAGATTGCCCGCATGTTTTTCGTAGTAGTCCACCATCTAAATACGCAGGGTAGGTTTCTTTTTTTCTCATATATCTGATCAAAAAATGAATCTATAAAAAAACCATTTTTATTAAAACCGTTAAAATTACATTTATTTTAATATCGTCATATTTTAGATCCGAGCAAGTCCAAAGGTACGAATCTGATAAAGGATATGAAACATGACATATGGTTAATGGACATATTTAACGGATCAATGTATTAATATGATCTTAAACAAATCTTCGTCTTTTTTTTATAAAAGAGACGCAACAGGAACAAGTCCAAGATATCTGTAAAAAAGCGAAACAAATAGAATTGTTAATTGATGCTCTACCTGGTATAAATCACTCAGAAGCAGAACAAGTATTATTAAACCAATACTCAGTATTTCCTTATGTAACTAAGTATATACCATGACTAATGAAAAGTTTTCAATATTATTTGTATAGGTCGAAATACTTAAATCGTTAGATCAAGAATTAAAAGTTGCTAATGAAGAATATATAAAGGCAGTTCAAGATGCTGGTAAGATATATAATTATTAATTGAAAATATTTTATAATAATCCAAATAGTCATCCAATTTTCTTTAAAAATAATTTAAAATAACAGAATCTTTATTGAAACAAATAAAAGAAACTATCAGAATAATAGCTAAAGATCAAAGTAGTGATATGGGCTAATCTGGCCCATCGCAGTTAGGGATTTTACCAAATATGGGGACGTCTAAAGCGAAGATAAATCACGTGATCAACCGCTAATCAAATTTATAGTTAGGGTAGTTATATGCAAAATTGCCTTCCCGACATTTTTGATTAACCTGAGGTAGGTTTAGACTGCTTTAGACGACCCCAAATATGGACAGTGAGTGTCGATCGCAAATGGCATCAGTTGTTTTTGACATTTCTATCACATGTTAACCAGCCAATCAAATCGTGGCCTCGAAAAAATCAAAAAATTAATACGTAACGTATAACGCAAATATTTATTAATAAAAAATTATCTAAAATTATCCAAATTTTAAAATTATACAGAAATCTGTGCCGCGAATAACTTTATTTATATAAGGTCAATTTACTTAGTAAAAAAATACATTATAACCATTTTTTTACAAATCACAAAAACGAAGATATTTCGCAACTACTAATCAGAACCAAACAATTTTTATACCATTCGATTCGTCTCATTGAGACGGATCGAATGGTATAAAAAGCACCCAAATATAATCGATAGAACTCAAGAATTGTCGATTTTCTAATTTACTATTTTAATAAAAATTCCTGAATTACGTTTGATCAAATTAAAAAGAACTCTATATTACTATTAATTCTTTAATTCGAGTATCTAAAAAAATAGAAAAAACATTAAAATAAGTATAGAAAAAAAAAATCAAAACGAAGAACTTCTGACTTGAATCTACTTGTAATTCGTTTTCAATAAGCCCACATAAACACATAACAGTTATAACACAAATCCAAAGTAAACATATAACACTGCAAAAACATCCCAATTATTGAGCTAAAAACAAAAAAAAAAGAGTGAAACCAAACGAACCTTAAATAAATGGGATCTCTTACAGTATAGGTGGCACCACTAATAAAATGTAATATTAATCAATTGATTTAGAATAGGTGTCACCCATCTCCGGCGAGTGGGCCGGCCCTTAAGCTATATCTTGATAGGCTGGTCTGGTTGGGATATAGAAAACTTTTCTAAGCCAATAAAAGAAACACGAATGATGCAAGCCTAAAAAGGAATCCGAGTTAGAGTTTGAGGTTTGGAAAGATAATCAATCCATCATTTTAATTAGTGACACAGATCTAAACACTCGTTTAATTGTATTTTTCAATTTTTCTTGTGCATCTTTCTGGCTGATCCGCATTTACAAAATTTCCCCAAAGTTTCTGATATAGCCAATCAGGAGAAAAGATCACGTATAACATGAAATTAAAATTTGCATTGTAAACCGGGGAAATTAATAAATTCGGCAAATCTGCTATTTTCTTGTTGGTTTATATATCTTGAAATAGGATAAAATAATAAAATTAATGTCCTGAATATTCCATGTAATTGGTACTTTATATTATCTACAGTGTAAAGGAAAAATTTGTTAGTTACTGGGACTACTTGAATATGAAGAGCTCAAGATAATATACGAAAAGCACAAGAGAATGTAGTTTACTTCACTATAAATGGCGCAAAAGCAACTGTGAAGAATATAAAATAGTTCTTGCAAGTGTAGACGCGTATATTCTTTGAATATTGTAGAAACTGGATAATAGATAATGTAATGTTCAATTCAGATCACTGTCACTCATCTTTTGTTTTTTTAGCACCATTAGATCAAAGTTTAGAGCTTGTAATTAAGACCATGTAAAGTTAATCACCTAGTTCTCAACATATAACGTATGAATTTTAACTTTAATTCTAACCGTAAAATTTTTTTTTTTTTTTCATTCAGAAAATATAACAAAAATTTTTTAATACTGGAGTTTTTATATATAAAAAAATTTTCAAACTTTGTATTTTATTTGCATAATAAACATCCATACTTTCTAATAAATTAAATAAATGTTCTATTAATGTCAATTTATAAACTAGTCTCCCCTTGTTCAACTTCATCCTCATCATAGTCCACATTTTCCGCTGGCGAAATCGGTAACAACAACCCAAACCCACCGACCACAATCGCGAACAAAACCCAGTTTGAAAGCTCCATCGTAAATTTTTTATTTAAATTCTCTAATGTATCCATCATCGAAATTAATAAAGTGCCAATGATTTGTGCAAATGCATATAGGACTCCTGTAGTTGTGATTTCGTCGGTTGATTGTCTCTTGGATATTACAATTGTAGCGAATTGGCATGCCGCCGGACCTATTGCTAAAAGAAAGAGACATTAGTAGGTATTAAGAATAGGATATATTTGATAAGAAAAAAAGGTCATCTTACCGAATGAAAATATACCAAATGATATGCTATATTACGAACGTAATATTTATTTTGTAAGTCATTTATTTTATAATACTTAAGGACGTGCCATCCATCACGTAATTTAAAAGGCCCATACTCATGTATTAGTTTATGCATATCGTCTTGGAGGATTTAAAGCCTCTTAATATTTCTCGAACACAAAAAAAAAATTGGATTCATACTCTTTTACATGGTAGCAATCCATGACAAATCACGTAATAGATGGCGTTTCCTAGCGAATAAGTTTCAAGAAGGAGACCAACCTTGAAAAAAACATCAATTCCACCATCTCATATTTTAATGAGATATTAAATAGCCATAAAGAAATAATGACCCCGACATACAACCACCGACACGCTGATTTAAAAGCCAACGTGCGATCAAGGTATATTCCAATTGCTAAGGATCCTGCCATCCCGAAAACTATTATTAAGAATCCTAAAAGCCCAATCGTTGACTTTATTAAAATACATGAAAATTAGCGAAAAGTATGTAACTGAAAGTTTAGTGATAATAATAAAGAATTAGTGATGTGCACGTAGTGCTTTCCATCATGTTTCTTTTGATAATTAGTAATAGCTACCTCATCAAATTGCTTAAACACAGGCAATATCATTTGAGACAATAAAGTGGTTAAAGCATATAGACCACCGGTGACAAGTGCGTAAGATGTTGCCAATAACATGAACAATTTATCACTCAAATAGTAAATGATATTAGAATTTGATAACTTGGTTAATGAGGCTCTCCTATATTCAATAGCATTGTAATAATCAAAAAAAAGCAACAATTTTTCTTAAACGAATTGAAGGTAGAGGTAGAGAAAATATACACGTAAATCAAAGATTATCATTACCTATTTCTGTGTATATACGGTGAAGACTTAAAAGTAAATACCAAAAACAAATAAATTGCTGCACAAAAAACGAATTGTAGTAAAAGGTAATTTGGTATATCGCGATCAGCTGTCTTTTCCTTAATCATCCACGGAGATAATAAAAATCTGTCAATTAACATTAATAATCAATAAAATTTTTTACCCGTATATGAAAAAGAATATTTAAAACAAAAGAAGAAAAATCACATACCCAACAGCAGCTCCGGCGCTATTGGCCGTAATGCCAACAGAAGTTGCAAAATTCTGTTCACCAAATTGTGAAAACCAAATATTCGCTAATTTTGGAGGTACACCTAACATAAAAAGTTGTGCAACCGCTGCTAAAGTTTGTCCTAAAAACAATATCCAAAATCCTAAATATGATTTATATAATGATCCTAAAAATCTGAAGAAAGCCCCCAGAGAATTTAAAAGTGCACCAAAAATTACACCAAATCTTATTCCATACTTATTAAACAATTTTATAGAAGGAATCAATAAAATTGGGTATATTATCATGTAAATTGAAGATAAAGAGTTTATACCCGAAGGTGTTTGAGAAAAATAAGACATGAAAATGTATAGACATGGTGCGAATGTTATCCATAAACATGCTGAGGAAAATGTAAGCAAAGAAAAACCTAACAAGATCAACCAACGATACGATGATGAAAATTTTGCATTACTATTAAAAGCAGATGGCAATAAAGGACTAACTGCATTTATAGTATCATCATTAGTGATACTAAAGTCATTATTATCAATAGATATTATAGGCGAAGACATTAACGTTAATAATCACTTAAAATAGAATGTTTTTTTAAATGTTTTTTTTTTTTTTTAAATATCTTGGACCCGGATTACATACGTACGTACGTAATTACAGTATAATGTTGTCATGAAAAGGCTTTGGACAAGAAGCTAGACAATTCTGGGCAGTATAATAAAAAAAAAACTGTCAGAGAATGTCACAATCTGTACTACTATATATTTTTCGAATGTACTGATGCAGGGATGTTGTCGGCTTAACCCGGTTTGTACATATATAAACGACAAAAACCGATTAATGAATAGAGTTAAAAATGAGCCATTAATATCACCTATTTGAATACTTGTTGGTAATTGACAAATATGGAATTGCCAATTGTCCGGCATACTTTTATGTATGCGCTTTTTATGATCGAATTAAGTTTTTCGATGCATTATTTAGGGATGTTAAACCGTTTACAGAAGATCAAATATAAGTTTAATATACGTATCCAAGTACTGAACTAGTCAGTTTAAATAGTAAAATCCAACCGGTTTAACATCCTTTACATTATTAATAAATATATCAGAAACGTAGTTTTGAATTAACACCCTTGAAAATGTTAACAGTGACCATGATGCTTAAAGATGTATAGTGCAAAAAATTTAAAAATCACAATTATTCCTTATAAAGTATAAATAAGTCCTAAATATTATTATACGTACAGTACATAGCAGTAGCTACGTTACGTTGAAGAGATGATTTTTTTTACCCAATTTACTGTCCCAGATCCGCGACGCACCTAGTATCGCCACCAAAATCAGGAACGGAAGACGGAGCTTAAATTTATTTGCCGATATTCAAATTAATGATGATTAAAACAATAATGACTTTGATTAATTATACAATAATAAAAAATTTTTTACATCGAAATTAATTTCTTCGAATATTCTACGCGTCCTGTCGAATCGTGAAACCCATAATTGCATTTCAAAATAATGTTTGGAGTGTAAATGAAAGCAAAAAAAAGAAACATGAAGACCAACTTTTAAATGACATTTGTAAGACAAAAGAAAACGCTATAAAATCCGAAGAGCTTGAATATATACTGTAGTGTATGAAAAAACTTATGGATATTGAGGGAGATTGGGATAGTTGTGGATGTTTCTTCGTTGACACCAATGAAGTGGTTGCAAGTTCATTAGCACTTGAGATCGAAAAGTATCAAAATAAACAAATCAAAACTATTTCGTTCAACTATTGGTGCAATTGTCGCTGTGAGCTCAAAAAAAGGATGAACCACGAATTGAACATTATGACTGCAAGGAATTATTATTATCAAATTGACCTACAAAATGCTTTAGCATTTGTAAAGATTAATAATCATAATCAACATCCGCGACCACATTTCAATGTTAATAATGAAATTAAAGAATATATTCTGCCAATATAATTCATTCAGCATTTGAATTATATCAGCAAATTGTAACTAAAAAAATGGAAGGCTACAACCTGATAATCAAAATTAGAAATGTTCTTGTTTTTATATTTTTAAACCCGAATTTTTATTGTGTAAACACCTCGTTAACCCTCGGAAAGATGAATGCATTGTTCTTCCGAAAGGTTTGTTATTATGTTTTAAAAATTTCTAATCTAATATTCCTTTGATTTAAATACAACGAAATTCTCAATATTAAAGAAACTAAAGAAACCTATGGGGAAATATTCGAACATCAGACCTAATTAATTAATTGCACGCAAGGCAAAAATACTATTCCTGATGGATCGGCTACTGTTCCTGATAGGATTCTAAAAACGAACCCTAAACCTAACTTTTTTTCATTATAGTGTATAGTATTTTGAAGGACCTTTTTTAGAACCCTATCAGGAACGGTGATTAATTTAAAATTTGAAAATTAAAATATATATAATGAAGAATCAAGTACTGAAGATAACGAATCTAAATCTGAAATTTTAAAGAAGTACAGATAAACTCTTCATGAGATATAAAAGGTTTTTTTTATTACTATATTTCTGTTTAAATTAATTAGGGATGTTAACAGTCCGGTCTGGTCAGTCTGGTCCAGGTCTGGTCTGGTCTATTATGGTCTTCATTTTTAAGACTTTGTCAATCCAGACCGGTCCAGAGTGGCCCGGTCTTAAGACTTAGAGCAGACCAATTGTCAATCCAGACCGGTCCAGAGTGGCCCGGTCTTAAGACTTAGAGCAGACCAATTTTTTTCGAGTTTAGACCGGTCTTAAGACTAACCGTGGTCTATTAGTCTAAGACCGGACCACATAACATCCCTAAAATTAATATATTTTACAGTATTAATTTTATGCTTTAAGTGCTCGATTGTCTTGAGAAATCTAATAACCTTCCAAAACAAAAAAAAAAAAAAGGCTTCGAAGTATTGAATCAAACTTTACGCCGCTTCAAAAATGGTAGATGATATTAAAGATTTCAAACGAGCAAAAAGCTTCCAAAAAATTGGAGTGGACGTAACAAAAATACCTTTTACAAGTAGCATTAAATTCAAATTTAAAGCTTTATACACATATATTAAATAAATTTGAATTTGGATGAAAATGGATTTTTATATATTCGAATTGATCTCGTGATTCTGTTATTCTTATGCAGTGATTATAACTCTGGTCAAATTTGCCGATCGTTTGGCCAAGTTCAAAATAATTTGATTCTGAATCTGGCCAATTGATCTGCAAATTTGACTAGAGTTATAAGTAATTGGTTCTTCACGATCAAAATTAGCCCTTACGAATAAATTGACATGCATGAATTAAACGGCGTAATACCTCAGGACGGTGGGAATAATGAAATATTTCCCCAGTGGCATACGTGGGCGCTTTGCGCCTCATAAGTGCGCCGCTGGGAGGAAGATTTCCGGCACGGCCGAATAAATGAGTTGTTCAACGTTTCATATGGCATGACAGGGACTCATGTTACCAATTGATTTTATCACATTTTCTTTTCTTCCTTTACATTTTTAACTTTTTTGGGGAAGTAACAAAAGCCCGTTATCACCCCGGCTTTATTTGGAGTTCTTGCTTTGAAAATCACCCTCAGACATTTCCGATCAGATTAATTCATGTGTATCTCTTTTATCTTTATTAACTCAATAGTTCTCGGGTCTGTCTTTGTCGACCGGAAGGTGAATTTCAAGGCAAAGACCCCATTTGTTATCACCCTGGGGAAATAACAAATAAGAAAAAAGGAAAAGAAAAAAAATTTGTGATAAAAATTGTGTCATGCGATCATAATGAGACGGTGAATAATAGTAATATATCGGCATCAGATTATCCGGCTAATATTTTGCTAATTTATGACGATATATTACGTATTAGTAATCGGATATCGGAGTTGCGTTCACCTGTGATGTTGTACAAAAAAGAAATGCCAACTCAAAATTTTATTATGGCAACTTGATTTAAAGCATTAAGTAACAAGGCTTAGACCATACAAACTTAAATTGATTCTCATAATATAAAATTTTTAAAAATGACCCACTTTTAATTTTATTTTCAATTTTATATATAAAAAACAATTTTTTTTTAGAAAAATTCCCCCGGATAGTAAATATACTTAAAAAATTTTTAAAATTTGACCCAGCCGGTTATGAGAACCAATTAATTAAGTTTGTATAGCCTTATCTCCAAATTTTACACATGCATGGATATTCATGAACATTCAAACCAAAAAATTTATAGACATACGTAGTAACGTAACAACACCGGATAAGATTGTCCGCATCAAATAAGAATTATCGGTTCTATCCGAATTAAGAGGCGAAACATTATATTAGAGATACGTATTAGTTATGTTTTGACATTAGTTTAATATATAATACTAATGATAACAAACCTTTGTGATAAAATGTCTTGAGTAAATCGAATTTTTTGAGCAAATACTAGTCAGGTTTGTCTAGTCAAAAAAATTGGCCCATTTACCAGTTCGTACCAAACTGGCTAGGTTGTAAAAAGCACTCTAAACTGTATAAATTCAATTGACCAATCACAAAAGTTTTTCGTACAGGTGCATACAGATGTATTTAAATTATACTTGATACTATATTTTTATGACTTCAGGTAAGAACGTAATAATTAAAGTTTAAAACTGATTGGATAACCTGGACAAATCTCACTCTCCATGATTACTAATCACGCGCGACTATGTCGCGCAGTTAAGAATTTAGTATATGCTAGAAATTCTATAGTATATAGATACCGCACTATACTATATACAATTGTCTATCGGATTTCAAATTCACTTTTTAAATCAATATTAGATTAATTTTTGGCACTCCATAAGTCATATACAATTATATATATATAGTAAGCGCAAACGTCTTTATCTGTTATCTCATGTATGTACGTACGTACGTGCGATACGTACTATATTACGAAAATATATAATCCGTAATGTACTATTACCGTTACCGTTGATTTTCTACCAATCAGTACACAATGCAGGTTTGTTTGCTTAGTAATAATCCATCACGATATTTTGATAAATAGAAGACAACCCAGTTGATAAATAGAAACTCAAAAAAAAAACGAAAAAAAATGTCTGCGTCTAAATTTCTAGACATTAAAACGGTTATTATTTATACTGGAAATGTAATGAAACAAGCAAATATTAACACCTTCAAAAACGAGGTAAGTTCTCTATTTCAAGTCTAGGTTTTATTTTTGAAATAAACTCTACTGCGCGTAGAGATTATACCCGGGTAGACATTTCTATTATATGAGTGCCGCCAAGAGAAAACCCGCAAATCTTATTTAGTAAGATTTACGGGTTTTCTCTTGGCGGCACTCATATGGTCATAATCGGATAACCGAGTAATTTAATAGTACCCGGGTAGAAAATTTCTCAGTGGGTATTTTAGTTATTTTTGTTTCGACTTATTGAAATATTTTGTATTTAATTAGCTTCAATGTTGCCTTGAAAATACCTTAAAAAACGTACATTCTTCGTTTCATATTGATCAAGAACGCAGAATTTTAGAAATACCTAGCCCGTATGATCCGAGCTATAAACTTAAAGAACGTAATGATTTTGAGATAACAGGTATTATAATTTTGTTAAAAATTTCTCAATTTTGGATCAAGTATCGCTTACATTTTTTTTTTTTTTACAATATAAACAGCAAAATTATTTTATCTCCCTTCATCATCTACCTCATCTGATAATCCTTTTGCCCCCCCTCCATCTTACATTTCTCAATCCCTTCACCATCTCTTTTGTTTGCTTGGTATTACCTATGTAGATAGTTTTATTGTTTATTTTAATGGTTTATTATTTGACGATCAAGATCAAGACGACTCTAATTTAGTAATGAATGATTTTGAAGCATTGGTTGAAGCTTGGAAAGAATTGGAATTTCATTATAGAAATGATAGAATTAAAAAATTGGGCGTGAGCGAATTTACAAAAAATAGATTTGAGAGATTTATAGATGTTGTGGAGGTATGATTGTCTCATAGTGCGTATTTATCGATTTCCATTTTTGTAACCTTATTTTCTTTTTAAAGGTTCCACCGAAAATTGATCAAATAAACGTTAAAGGTTGTTGTGATTTGCCACGCCAAATGATTGGTTATGCGAAAGAGCATGATATAGAACTACTAACTCATAGAGATCCTACTGGTAATTAATTTAATTATCCATTTTTTTTCTTTTTTTAGTTACTCAATCATTTATTTATCAATTGTTTTAAAATAGATATTCTACCATCAACAACATTTCAAAAAGTATTAAAAGATACAAAGTTTCCTATTACTTCAGAATTGTTACCACGTTGGGTATTAAAATATTCAGTTCTTATAAAATGTCGTGAGGTTGTTGCTAACAAAGGGTAATAATCTTTTAATACTTAATATTTTGTTGTAAATTCTTAATTGTTAAATCTTTTGTTTTGAAGGTTTAACTGTTAATATTCAGTTTCAAAAGTTTAATCTTAATATTTACATATATATATATATTTTTTAACTCTAGATATATCGTCATGAGCAGTACAACTACTGCAAATTCTGACTTTAAATATCCGATAGAATCAATAGAGTAAAAACAAATAAAAAAAAAAAAGGCATGGTTGTTAAAAAGTATTTTATAATTTTAAATAATTTTGATTAATAAAAGCGTTTACTGTTATTTAGGTCTCTTATTAAGTTGCTGGTCAACATGATTGATCATAATTTGGGAAGTTCAAAATATTGCTAATGTTTTATAAAATGGTCGGTATAACTATTGTATGTTATATTGTTTATATTAGTGATGGTACTATTTAAAACCTGTTTTAATAAGTATAATTAATAATTAATAAAAAGAAATGGAATTTTGTTTTTACTATTTGTAGCGTGGTGAAGGACCCTTTATATGCAAAGTGATACTAAAATATTTTGATATATTATTAACAGTATAGCCGGGAAGCCTAATTTTTCCCCCACTTTTGATCGGATGTATGAAAATGTTATCGCTAATTGGACAAAATAGATTATGCAACTTTTCGCTACCAATTAAATCAAGCGTAACGCAAAAGTGATGACAAAAATCGATGTTTTCAAAAATCGTCGACAGCTTGTAATTTTACTTATGAAATGAAATTATCTTTCGTGTCTTAATAAAAAAAATTTAATCTATACTCGGTTTATGGTCATGTTTTGACGATCATACGAAAATTTTACCCCAGTATTTCCATAAAAATTTCGGAAAATTCTCTGGACACATCTTCCCCAGCATCACCACCAAAATTTTTCGATCACTGATATCGACAAAATTCTTTAGAGTCGTTTATGTTAGGATTAGGGTTAGATTTAGGGTTAGAAAGGCCAAGTATCTTGTAAAAACTATCCAAGGAATTTTTTTTGTTAGAGCATGAAAAGCGGTTTCTTAAGCAAGTTTTTGAGAAAACGTTTTGCTTGATCTTGATGATCGTGTTACGTTACACCAAGGCGTGATTGTTATTGGATAATTTTCAGTATTTTTGGTGGCGATCCTGGTCACTTTAGGCGCCAAAATGCTAACAAAATTTTCGATCACGTGACAATTATCCAATAACAACTTACGCCTTGGCGTAACGTAACACAATTATGATCAAAACAAAGAAACCGCCTTTTATGCTCTAATAAAAAAAATTTTCTTGGATACAATATATTGAACCTTTTTAACTCTAAATCTAACTTTAATTTTAATATAAAGCTTTAAAGAATTTTATTTTATTTTATTTTTTTAATATTAAGGTGACCACTTGGGGTTTGGCATGTTTATTAACTTTGGTTGCGAATGCCAGGGCAGCCACAGGACCACCCCTGACTTTGTTACATTAACAAGGGTACATTCTAGCCATACCTACGCCTTTTGAGCGTTTAATTAAGTAGTTTCTTATTACTAAGTACTACACTAGATGCCATACCTATAACCCACGTT